CCCACTACCACACACATGTATGTGCGCTCACACACACACACACACACACACACTATTGAACCCCCCACTACCACACACATGTACATGCACTCACACACTCACACACACACACACATACAGTCTGGAGTTTGCAGAAGGGTATACAGCATTTGCAAGTAGGGTGCCTATAAGCTGTATACATTATTTAAAGTTTAAATTTTTAAAAATAATTATAAAACCATTCCCAATTTTAAAATATTTTTACCGAGGTGTAATTTATATATTACGAAATTAACATATCCTCAACATTCAGTTCAACATCTTTCACAAATGCATATACCATGTAATCAACTTTGCTACCAAATAAAAGAATACTATCACTATCACAGAAAATTCCCCCTGTCCATCCCTACTGAATCCCTCTAGCTAACAAAGCAAAGCAACTTTTATTAAATAAAGAACTTAAAATAAATGTAACCAAACAGTATCCACTTTTTGGCTTCCTTTGTGCACAAATATTTTGAGAGAAATCAATATAATATGAGGTCATTCCTTTTTACTACTTAGTAGTATTACACTATATGAGTATTATTTACAATAAAGATGCTAAGAATGTTCTCATACAAGACTTTTGTAAATGTATTTTCATTTCTCTAACATTAATACACACGAGTAAAATTGGAGGGGCACAGGATAACAGTTCATTAATATTGAAAGAAATTATCGAACAGTTTCACAAAGTCCTTATACCATTCTGCATTACATTAGCAGGGCTCCACATCCTTGCTAACATTTAGTGTTGCAGAGAGGTCAGTTTCATTCTCGTAGAGGAAATGTAGAACGTCGTTGTTTTCACTGAGAACTTTCTTGTGAATAATGATAAACAAAATATTAATGATAATACCGTTTTTCATATGAATATTAATCATTTTTTTCTTTATAAAGCAACTGCTCAACAGTCTGCTTAGAACTTTGTCTTCCTTAGTAGACTGGTGTCTGAGCACTTTATATAGTATTCTCTGAACGTGAAACACCTAATCAAGTCCTTTTTCATGTACTTTTATATTCTCTTTCGAATATTAACTGGAAAAAGTAAGACACTGGCTAGAGTTTAAATATTTTTGTTATTGACACCTGTTATTACTCTTTGATTAAAACATTACCATTTTTGTAGCTCAAAATGTCCAAATGCTGACAATTTTATATGGTTCAAACTTGTTAAAATTTAACAAGTTTTTATTCCTCTGTAAATCTCATACTAAATCTTTTTTCAACTTAAAATTCTACAAACATGAATGAACTGCTTCTAATGTAACTCATACTCATTAATTTTTCAAAAGTAGAAACAGAAGTTGCTATTTAACAGAAGTTTATAAATGTGGTTATGATATTAAATTTTTAGTAGAAGATCAAATATTACAACTATACCTTTTTTGGGTGGGTTTTCACTCTTATAAACTATACATTCGTTTGTTCATTTATTCATTCATTCATTCATTTAGCTAGCAGTACTGAAGAATGAACCCAGGGACTTTTCACGGAGCTACAGTCCCAGCCCTTTTCTAAAAATTTATTTTGAGACAGGGGCTTACTAAGTTGTTAAATTGACCAGGCTATGCCTGAACTTTCTGTCTTCCTGCCTCCACATTTTAGAAGGGTAGGATTACAGGCATGGGATACATGCCTATATCCCATGCATAAATTGCAATGCTCAGTTATATTTCTAAATATATCAATTGATATTAGAAATATATCAATTTCCAAATATATCAAAAAAGTTAACTTATTAGGTTTAAAAACAAGAATGGTAAACTGTGTACATGGCAATACAGAAAGCTACAAAAGAAGGACTGCAAGTTCAAGCCTATCTTGGGCAACTTGGTGGAGTCCAAATCTCAACAAATAAAAAGGGGTGAAGAGATAGCTCCATGAAAAGACCCTGGATCCAATCCCTAGTACCACAAAAACAGAATTCTAAAACATAAGAAAAAAAAATACCCCACATTTAAAAGACTATGTAATTTTTGTTATATAATAATCTAAGAATTAGGCAGAAACATATTTCCAATACCAGCTGATCTCCAAGCAAATAACAGTATTATATTTTTAAAATACTTTTAAGAACAAGAAGCAAGCTTTTCATTTCGCTAGTAAAATATAGTATTTAGTAAGTTAAGACAAATATCTACATGCAATCTAAATGAAAAGCTAAAATTCTGCTTGCTTTATTTCCCTTTTATTTGGGAGGGGGGTTCTGTTCCCTCTGCTGCACTTTTATTTGAATGTTAATTTTTTGGGACTTGCTTTTTTCCTATCGAGTTTCTGAAGGATTTCTCATTAAAAGCAATTTCGTAATTTTGTGTAATCATAATGGACATCCACTGATCACATCTAAGTCCTCGAGAAAGTCTTCTACAAGTTAGTCCTTTAAATCTTTGGTAAAGCTGTGCATTGCTAAATTGCTGCTAGATCAAGCATTTCATTTCATTCAATCATCTCCTTTGGGTTCTCTATGTTAACATTTTTCCTAAAGTCTAGATTACGAATCTAAATATTGTATGTCAGCTACGACCTCAGTGGGGTCACACATTATTTTGAGTACCAAATAAGTACCATCTTTTGTGCGTTGTGCTGGGGAACAAACACAGGGCCTCCAGCCTGTTAAGGAAGTGTTCAGCAGAGCCACATCCCTAACCCAGATGTTTTAGAGGAATGGAAAATAATACATTGCTTTTAATACTTAACCTTCCCAAAATGAGAGCCAAGGCAGCTCACAATTTTTGTCAATAGTACTTCCATGTGTTAATGAATTAAAGCTAACTGAAATGCCGTATCACAAGACTTCTCAATTATAATAAGCATAAATGCACCCCAATGAGAATCTGAAAACTACTCTCCTTCTAGAGGAAACACATAACGTACAGCAAGTTCTTTACCATACAATGGACCTGACAAATGCTTAAAAGCCAGGTAGAGGCCCCAGAGCTGTACTATTCACTGCCACATTCCTCCCACTGCTTAGCACAATGCTATTACAGAAGTTGATATGCAATATAAATTTATTCATTTAATGAAATAAATACTAATGTGTTCATTAAGTGTTGAAAATTGGATTTAAAAGGGACAATCAGAGTCAGTAAAGCCAATGGTTTCTTAATGGTACTGAATATTTCTACTGTATTTGGGTAACGTTCCCTGATAAATTTGCAGATAGAAATAATATTCACAGGTGTTCCAAATGATGAAAAGTAACCTGGTACCACTTCACTAAAGAAATCTGTGGTTGTTAATGTGAGAAAGTTGTGTTTGGGTATTTTGTATAAGCATATGGTTATTTTATGTTTATCATAAACAGATATTTACACATAGAAAGGTTTGTTTGTTTTTAAATGCAGAAGCATGAAGAATAAAACCTGAGGGAAAAGTAAAGGGTGAAAAAGAGGTGAAAGTAACATCAATGTAATTCTGATATTTCTGCTGATAAATATTTCTTCAATGAAGAAACTAAGTTTCAAGCTTTGAGGTTATAAATGTGAGAAAATTTAATATTTAAAGAGATGGGAAGAAAAGAACAAACGTGAGGGCTGGGGATACAGCTCAACGGCACAGTGCCTGCCTAGCAAGTGTGAGGTCATGAGTTCAATTCCCGGTACAAAAAAAAAAAAAAAGAATAAATGTTTACTGAGTGTGTACTATGGTCTCAGCATATGTGATACATGTCTTACAATGTTATGGGAAAGTATCATACTCATTTTAGTGTACACGAAAATACCTCTAAGGGAAATGAAGTAATACTAATATGCCTACAGATGGCAAATAGATGAACCCAGATTTAAGCATAATCATTAATTCAAAAACCTCACACCATGCATTAAGATATAATCTCCTTAAAATAGTGAACTTTACAAAATGTATTAAGCATGACTGATAACAATAATCATGATTATTTTTCTCTGTCATGTTTTTTTACCTACAAATCATGAGAGAATACTCTTAAACAACTATGCAGGGTTGATGTGGGCAATGGAAGACCCCACAGTAAAACGATATCATGAACACAACCCCTTAGGTATTGGCATCCATAGGGAAAGACATGAGTAAATTTTCCTTCAGAAGTACATTGGTACCATTAAGGAAATTAAGTACAAGGAGAATCATGTAGTTATACTTGCTTGTAAAACAATCCCCACTGATTTCATTCAATAAACATTTATTCTCAAGAGAGTAAAACTTGAGCATTTGTGACCTAAACAAATATTGTTAGTTCTTAAGTAATCACAAAAAAATCCAAAAAATCAAAAAAGGTAAGGCTTAATGAAACAAAAAAGGTAAGGCTTAATGTCAAAGGAGCAGAAGTCAGTAGTTAAGATATCCATGAATTCTCTTTACTTTGTAGAAGCCCTGGTTTTTTCAAAATTAATATACACTATGGGTACTTGTAGGACATTTTTTAAACAATAAAGCTGCAAAGATAGAAAAATTAAAGACACAAACATTTTGAATAAAGATCCCAGTATCACTATTAAAAAATTTAAAAAGTTGTGTCTCAAGGCCATGCATTAAATGGTTCTCTTCAAATATACTTGTCAACACAAAAAATTTTTTTAATTTAAATGAATAATGAAAACCACAATGTTTGATGTTTGTCAGAACTCCAATAATTCATGCACATCAAACAAAGATGAATTGTGTCAAGATAAACAGATCAAATTAAAAGTTAGAAATAAATAAGCAACGTGTAATAGGACACAACTAAATAAAAAACCAAACACTATCTTTTATCTAAAAATGTGTTCTTCTGTATGTATAAGGTTTATATCCTAAAAGTTCTGAATTTGTAAATATTTCAATTTTACTTGATGAATAAGTGCCTACTATGGATACTGTGCTGGGTACGAGGATAGGCCCTGTCAACTCACTAACTCCATGAAAAAGGTCCATGCTCCTCTCACAGATCAGGCTAGTAGAGATCAAAGTAAGGAAAATATAAATAAATGTCAAGAAATTGCAATAAAAGATACCTGACAATGCATTTCCATGAAGAGCCATCTTGGTCATCTTGTTCTTCTATGTACATTCTGACATTGTGATCTTGATCCAACTGGTACCAATACATGAGGCCATCCTTGTCTCGCCCAATTGGCTGGAGACGCATAGTATCAGCATCCTCCTCATTAATAATATTCTTAAACTTAAGATTGTCATCAAACTGACACTCGCAGAGATACTGAAAAATAATTACAAAATACTTCACAAATATTTCCCATCATGATAAATGATACAACCACAGAGCTGATTCAGGGACAAAGCAAGTAGAATACACGCAGTTTATCCATTTTTCACCATCCTTTCCCCTTAATGTAGAATCTGTTTAAAATAGTCAACTTAACGAGCCAGGCATGATGGTGCACACATGTAATCCCAGCGCTCAGGAGGTTGAGGCAGAAGAATTGTTGCGAGTTCAAGACCAGCCTACATGACATAGTGAGACCCTATCTTCCAAAATCAACTTAAAAAGATGGTTTTAACATTTTAAATACTTTTTACATCATTGGTTAGATTTAACACAACCAATGACACACAAATCAAATTATATTTATAAACAATGAGTGTACCTGTACTAAAACTGTCGAATTATCTCATGCAAGAAAATTTCATTTTTAAAAGATTAATTAGGTTAGTAAAGAGTATACACATTTATGGTATGCACTATGTTTTAGTATACACAAACCATGCACTATTTACCAAAATAGTTAAACAAAGTTTGTGAACCAAGGTACCATTTTACATCCCAACTGGCAGCTGGCCAGTTACTCTCAGTGGTGCAGACTGCAGAAGGTCTTCTCTCCTCAGTGATGTATTCTGTTTCTTCTGTGTCACTTAACCCTGTTTTCTTCTCCTTTGTCAGGTCCCTCCTGGTTCCGAAGTAACCCCTTCTCACTTTGATTCCTCTCCAAGCTACTGCTTTCAGAACTCTGGACACTTTGACCTCAAGAAGATTACTGCTGACACTCATAGCTCTGCCATTTTTTTTTTCTCCCTTCCTGTCAAATACTTTTTCTGCATGTAATGATGTGGTCATATGCATTTTGTACTTCACTCTTTAATGTGGTCTATCACATTTACTGAAATGTTGAATGATACTTACAACTCCAGACCCCAGGATAAATCCCACTTGATCACGGTAAAGATCCTTTTAATATGCTGTTGAATTCAGTTTGCTAGTATACTGTTAAAGATGTTTACATCTATGTACTGCATGTGCACTGGTCTTTAATTTTATTTTCTTATAAAGGTCTTCCTCTAGTTTTGGTAACATGGTATGTGTACTACCCATGAGGAAAAATAAGAGCATTTAGCAAGATATACGTGAGATGCTCTTTTGCATTGCTAAGACTCTTTTCAATAAAAGGGACACTATAAATAGAGATCCAAAGCACCCACCTGAATATGAGTGCATACGAAATGAAACAAACTGGGCTTATCTGAGGAAACTACTCTTTTGCACACAAGCTAAGTCACCTGTTACTTAATGTATAAAACCTATCTCTGGTAAATGGTGTATACAACAAGGAACTATAGAGAGAGTAAGTGATAACCAGTCACGACTGCTGTCACCAGACACTCTTGAGTACTTTCTGGTAAATAGCTGTCTAGAACAACACAACTGGTTCTCCACAGAGGTAGCATGCTATCTAACCCTTGTTGAATTTGCTGAGCATCACTGCTGTTGAGTATGCACCCCTTAACAATTTACTGAGCACTGGGGGCTGGGGATTTAGCTCAGTGGCACAGAGCCTGCCTGGCAAGCGCAAGGTTGTGAGTTTGATTCCCGGTACCGGAAAAAAACAAACAAACAATTTACTGAGCACCACTCTTACAAGGTATGTCCCTCTTGTGGGCCTTCCCAGTAGCGCTATTGGAATACTAAGCGGCTCTTCCCTATTAGTTAAGTATCTATTAATGGTTTCTTTCTGTGAGTCTTAGTAACCCTCTTTCACAACTGACTCCGGGTATTTTCTTAACTAAGGAACCTATTCCACTTGCCTAACCCAGCTGGGCTGTGGATAAGACAGTACTGCTACTCTCAAAATGAGTTTCAGAGTATCCTCTCCTCTGCAGTTACTTGGAAGATTTTGAAAATTGGTACTATTTATTCTTTACATGTTTTCTACAGTTTGCCTGTGAAGCTACCAGGTCCTGGGCTTTTTTTTTTTTTGGTGTGGGGGGGTGTTCATTACTGATTTAATCTCCATGATCATTCCTGTCTGTTCAGATATTCTATTTCATCATAAATCAGAATTGGTTTAAAACAGACTCCATGTTTCTAGAAGTCAGCCATTTCATTTAGGTTTTATTGCTGGTGTATACTTGGTTATAGAGATCTCTTATGATGGTTTTGACTTTTGTGACATCAGTTGTAATGTCTTTTTTCTTTTCTGACTTTGAGCCCCCTTTTTCTATTTGAGCAGTAAATTTATTAATTTTATCTTTTCTAAACAACACATTTTAAAAACTGTACGATTGTGTTTACATGACAACTTGAGGTGATTAATGTTTTGGAAACAACAGATGTGTGCATTCTGGAAGTAATGGAGAGTGGGTTGGGTGAAGGGAGGTAGTGGGCATCAGAGGCCAACACAAAGCTTCTATGCTTTTGGGATTCTGTACCTGTTTTTCTCTCAGATTTTTTTTTGGTAGTACATGTTTGCAGTACATAACTGTGTATATTCTTCATGGGAGGATGGTACATGTATATAATACATCTTAATTCTTTTTTTAATCCCCTTCCAATCTTCTACTTCCCCCCTCTCCATCTTGTGGTCTTTTTCCCATTAAAAATATATCCATCTGCCAACTTCTATAATCAACCTTTGGCTATTTATATTTTGGGTTTCTCACATAAGAAATACATTAAGATATTTAACGCTGTGTGTTTACTTTTTTCACTTACTATTATGGTCTCAAGGTGAATCTATTTTCCTATAAATGACTCAAGTTTTCCCTTCTTTACACCAGAGGAGTACTCAGCTGTGTATAAATTTGACACTTTATCCATTCATCTCTTGATGGACATATAAGCTGCTTCCAAGATTCTGCAAGATTCTGCTGTTATGATGAATATGGATTATGCTGCTATAAACATGGGTATGCATACATCACTGTAATATGAAATGCATTTAACTCTTCTACCTAGAATACCTGATTCAAATGGAATTTCCAGTTTTCATTTTTTGAGAAAGCTCCAGAACACCTATACTACTTTTACATGCCACTAACAATGCACAAAGGTCCTTTTCCCCCTGTAGTCTCACCAAGATTTGTCATTATTTGATTTTCTGAAGACAGCCATTCTTTTTGGAGTAAGGTAGACTCTTACTGTTTTAATTTGCATTTCTTGAATGGCCAGCAAAGAACATTTTTCATGTATTTATTGGCAATTTGTACTTCTTCTAAGCATGGTCTATTCCTTGTAGTTGCTCATTTTTTAACTGGGTCTTTTAATTTGTGGGGAAGGTTTAATTTTTGAGATCTTTATACATTCCAGGTATTTGACCTCTGGTCTCACGAATAGCTGGTAAAGTTTTCTGCTCATTCTATCAGTTGTCTCTTCACTCGCATTTCCTCTACTACACAGAAGCTTTTTTATTTTGATAGGATCCCATTTGTTGGGGTTCAGTTCAGGAAGTTCTTACCTATATGCCTATGTCTTTAAAGATTTTATATATTTTACCTTCAAGCAGATTAAGTGAACAGTTAGTTCTTTGATCCATTTTGATTTTAGTTCAGTACATAGTGACAGACATGCGTCTAGATTCCATCATTTACAAGCAAGTTTTCCCAGCATCATTTCTAACTACTTATCAGTCCAATTATTTAAATACATGATGATCTACAATTGCGTATTTTTGGTTAACTTTTAAAAGATGATATAACAATATAAAAACAACAATTTTATCAAATTTATTCAACACAATAGCTGACTGGTTGAAATGACATATGCCCGAGGGATACTCCAGATAGTATGCACTGCCCCAGTACTGGGGGGGTAAACTGTTAAGTGGTTAAAGACGCTACATTTCCTTTTCATTCAGTGTGTTTTTGGATGCTTTGTAAAAGATCAGATAGCTAAATGTGCCTGGGGTTATTTGTGCATTCTCTATTTTGTCTCACTGATCCATATGCAGTTTTTATGCCAGTACAATGCTGTTTTTAATCAATGTAGGTAGGTTTGTAATGTAACTTGAAGTCTCTGTTTTTAATCAATGTAGGTAGGTTTGTAATGTAACTTGAAGTCTCCCACTCTGCTGTGGTGACTCAGGATTGCTTTTAGTATTTGGGGTATCTTCTGGTTCCATATGTATTTTAAGGGCAGTTTTCTCTAGTTTTATGAGGAATGTTGTTAGTATTTTGATCGGAATCACACTATATAGTAGTGTTGGTATTATGGCCATTTTGACTATCTTGGTCCCGCCTACCCAGGAACAGAGGCTGTCTTTCCATTTTCAGATGTCTTGTTAGATCTCCTTTTTCAGAGTACAGCAGTTTATTTATTGTAGAGGTCTTTTGCTTCCTTGGTTAGACTAGTTCTATATATTTAATTTTTCTTGGTGCTACTGTGAATAGTATTATTTTCCTAATTTTTCAGTGAGTTTTCAGGGCACATGAACCTTATTGATTTTTGTGTTGATTTCATATCCTGGTACACAACTAAATTTGGTTATTCTAAGACATTTCTGGTGCAACTTTTTTGATCTTCTATGTAGAGCATCATGTCATCTACAAATAATGATAATCTGTCTTCTTCCTTTCTATACATATCCTGTTCATTTCTTGCTCTAGCCTAAGTTCATGTTTCCACTGAACGTGAGTGCTGATAATCAATATCCTCATCAGAATCTAGATTTTACAGAAGAAGCTTTGTTTTTCCCCCATTTAATATGATGTTGGCAGTAGACTGCCATAAATGATTTACCCAGGTTGAAATAAGATCATTCTATACCTACTTTACTCAGGTTTTTACCATCAATGGATGTTGGATTTGTTAAAAGCTTCATCTGCATCTATTGAGATGTTCATGTTATTTCTGACCTGAGGAACTTTAATTTGTTTTATGATTTGGGTGAAGATGGCTGCATTTGTGTTTGTGTGGGGAAGATGGCTGCGGTTGTGTTTGTTACTCAATACAAATTTTGTGAATGAAAGCAACATTTTGTCAAATGCTGT